CAATCCAGACATGCTCTTTTTCATTAGTAGTAAGGGTAGAGGATAATATAACAAAAATGTCATGCCAGGTCAGATCACATACCTGAGTCAAATGGCGGAACTCTTTGGTGTATGCGGTAGGGTCATTAGAAAACGAGCCTAGACACTTCTTTATCTGGGAAAGGTCAGAAAAGGAAAAGGGAACATGTACACGTACGACCCCCTCGGCGCCCGCCACCTCCCGTAATGGACAGAGGAGGAACTGGTCCGAAGGGTTCATGTGAGAGTGTGATGGCTGACTGGAGATGCTGGCGGCCAGTGGCTGGGTGGTGCGGAAAGGTGAGGTGGTGTATCTGGGGCTGGTTGACCCGAGTATGGTGGAGGCCAAGTGGGGGGAGAGCTGAGGGAGTCAGGTGGGTCGGAGAAAGCAGAAGGGGCATCTGAAGAGACATTTGGTGGAGAATTAGAGGGAGAAGAGGCGGAGGACGGCGGGGGACCCCACACAAGGAGGACTTGTGCGGGGTTGGCAGGTCAGACAGAGGGAAGCGCAGACAGAAGAAGGCTTGGACATATGGGATCTCTGACCATTTGCCGTTCCTGTGACAAAAACTGTCAAGGTCTTGTAAGACATTGAAATCAAAAGTCCCATTTTCAGGCCATTGAGAGTCATTGTCCAATTTATACATCGGCCAGGCAGCACTGCAGTAAAAGATGAGGCACTTGGGCCGGATGTCTAAATCCACGGCCTTTAAATTGGCCAATAGACACCCTAGGGGTGTCTTGCGGGGAATTTTAGAAGATTGGCTACCCATGTCATCCCAACCGGAATGGGGGAAATAGACAAGAACAGTTTCCTGACTACGGAGGCCACAGAAGTCTGGGGGACGTCTCCGCGAGACTGGCAAGCCAGAACGGAAAGGGGGAGAGAGGAAATTCAGGCGTACCTGAGTATCCTCAAGCTCCAGAACGGGGGAGCCTCTCACGTGGGCCCACAGTTTAACGGACCGGAACAGGATCCGGTGGAGGGAACAGAGACTCCCGTTGGGGGATTCGGGTTGAGATAACACTGGGTGACTCACCCAGGCCGAGAGAGAATCAGGGACCAGAGGCGTGGCTGAAGATCCTTGTCCAGAGGGTCCGCGGAAGGGGGGCGCCACCCCGAGACCACGGTCCTGGCGGCGCCACTCGCCCTTCCTGGGTTTCAGCACCAAATGTAAGGTTTTTGGATGGGTGGCGGCAGAGAGAGAGAGACGAGCAGAGTGAAAAGGGCAAGCAACGAGGCTTTATTGGGGGAGGGGGAAGAGAATGCTCCCGGGCAAAGTTCACTGGTCCCGAGAGAGGGGGCCAGAGAAGTCGCGCGCCTGCAAGTGTTGAGCGGGCTTATGAAGGTTTTGGAGTTGGGGGATGGGGGTTTTCCTTCGGCGCGAAGTTTCGCTGTTCAAAGTAGAGAGTTCTTTGTTACAGCCTTTAGAGCAGGACTTATGGGCTTCTTTTTCTTTAGGGAGCGGAGGGGTGCCCGCCACCAGCCTTACAATTAGGGATTTCTCAGATCTTTCCTGGACATGTTCACAGCCCTGAACATGTACAGTCTTCTAGATCCCCAGGAATTTGTCAGATTTTCAAGGCACCGTAGGGACATCTCCTTCCCCAGATTTTCCTATTATTTGTCCCAACTAGGATTCACTGCCTCAAGCAGCTGCCATGTTAAACAACTGCTATGACTATTCTTCAACAAATGTCGTAGGAAAAGGATTTTTCCCACTGAGCGAACTCTGAATCAGGTTCAATGAAGAAATGCCCTGTGAATGGGGCTTTTCCAGGGAGCTGCCAGAGATGTCAGATAGTGACAATTCTCTAGCAATGGGGGCCTTTGGAGTTCTCCAAACATTCTCTGCTGTTATATGGAGCAGGTTTTCACAGCTAACATGGTAGCGAGGCTCCTAGTTTATAAGACTACTGCAAAGAAATGGGAATAGGGTAAATTAAAACACCACAGAATTTGCTATTCTTACCAAGATTCAGCCATTTCTCTTGAATAAATGTTCTTCAGGTTGCTGCAAGCCTTTGGTTAATATCCAGAATTCTAAAAAAGTTGGTTTTGATGATTTCTGCCAATGTTCTTGCTGTTTTTATGGAAGAGTCCAGAGTTCTTTATTCTACCATTTGAGAACTGCTTCTGTATATAGTTTTAATAGCAGAAGATATGATTATACCAGCAACTGAGAAGTGGTAAAGCATGTTATTTGCTGAGTTAAAAGAGAGATACTAAGAATAAATTTAATGTTGGCATTAAAATACAAACTGAAATGACTTAGCACTGATATTATGAAAGGGACAAGAGGCTTCTCACAGATTTCTTCGGAGAAAGTTTATACTCTTTATACTAACCCTAACTCTGACTTAAAACATGACCTTTTCTCTGCCTCACTTATTTTAGTAAAATGTATCAACCTTGACTTGACTTTTTCCTTACATCTAAACTTTCCTTGCCCAAATAATCTTCTGTGGATATTTTATTCTAAAACAAACAAGACTGTGTAATTTAGATACTCCTAAATTTATAATAGCGTTCTACGAACTCTTAAACAGCAACTGAAGATCCTCTGTCCCTGATATACTTTTCCAGCTTTATTTCTGGACTCTCTCATAAATGTCCTATACTCCGGCTAATTTCTTGCCCTTTCCCAAATCAAACCTCTGAGCCTCTTTAATTTCCTTGGCTCGAAATGACGTTCTTCCAGTTCCAAACAAGCAGAATTCTACTGTGCTCCTCCAAAATGAGTCCAATGTCTGTTCTTCATCCTCATCATCCTTTTCTTCCCTACATCTTCTTTTGATGACATATGTTGTTGCTCTTATTACAGCTTATTTCAAGCTGCGTCATTCACAGACTGCCTACAGGACGGTGAACACATCTGTTTGCCTTTGCATTGCCTTTATACAAATATACACACATATATACAAGAGAAAATATGTCATTGAACAGATATATAAAATTTATTTCTTCTCACCACTCATTAATATCTGCAATTTTAAAAATGAAGTAAAAATAAATACTATCTTAGTATACCACAAAATCTTATCCTCACACTAGTTTCACAAGACAAAAGTTTCTCTGTATTATGTGGGGAAAAAATGGTACCACTGTCTATTTTGGCAAACACTGGGCTAAATAAAACTAAACAGCTTACTTTCCTACAGAATATTTTAGAACCATCACTATCTAACATACATGATCAATCTTCAATTTAGCATTCACTTCGCAAATAACAAATCACAGAGCTCATTTGTGTGCTGAGCACCCCAAAAGACTAGTATTCAGCAGGTAATAACTCAGGAAACACAGGTCTAATTCTTTATTTAAAATAGCGAGGGTAAATAAAGCAGTTGATCCTTGTTCCCTTTAATTATCCAAGTTTGCTTTAAAACTAGCTGCCATGCCTTTACTGCTGAACCATGTAAAATTAAGTTCTACTATAAAATAGGAAAGCCAAAAGGTAGCAATGGCTTGAATATGTGGCAATGGTTCACATTAGTATTCATCAGAATGACTTAAAGGGCTTGTTAAAACACAGATTGTTAGGCTTCACACACCCCCGTGGAGATTCTGATTTAATAGGTTTGGAATAGAGACAAGAATTTCCAATTCTAACAAGTTCCCAGGAGATGCTGAAGCTACTGTTACAGGAACCACACTTTGATACAGGGGTTTATTATTCCCTCAAATAGCAGAGAGGCTAGTACAGAGGTTCCAGAATGATTACGGACACCAACTCTTTCAATCTGCCGTTTCATCATCCTAGTTCATGGCGTGCATCCTCAGGATCATCTCTTGATCCGAAGGGGCTGCTCAAACTCTAGCCATCATGTTAGCTTCTAGGAAGTAGGAAAGGGGTAAAGGCAAAAGGGAACAGCTCCCAGTTATGTCAGCTCCTTTTAAGGACCCTTATTATAGCAAGAACTTAGTCAAAAGGCCTCAGCTAAGAGAGAAAACAGTAAATGTAGTTTTACTGAATACACTGCCACTTCAAATAAAACTGAGGCTCTATAACTAAGGAAGAAAAGACAACTATATATTAAAATAGCAAGAGGAGACTCTGCCATACTACTTTAGTCTACATACATTTCAATCACAAAGTCCAACTGATTTTGGCCTATTTTGTAAAGTTCATTATAATTACCTTCTAACTAGTCTCTCCCTACTCCCTATCCTGATGGTAGGTAGAAGATGGATTTTGAAGAAGCTAAAGGTGTTTATAATTCTTTAATGACTCTAAATTTCTTATAATTAGGTATGAGTCATCTACCTGATTATTCTTTGCCTTATATTTTATACTATTAAATGCAACAAACTATTTCTCCCCTCAGTGCTTTCATCATGTTTTCTCTGCTAATTTAGATACTCTTGCCCCTCTCTTTACCTTTCCAACTCTTCCTTTAGGATTTAACCACCTCCTCCAGAAAGCTTTCTCTGACATCCCTCCTCCACAGGATGAGGACCTATGCTGTATAATCCCAGAAAAACTGGAGCTATCATTGGATATTCCATATTATAGTACAATCTATTTACATCTCTGAATATTTCAATAGACTGCAGGCTTCATAAGTGTAATGACCATGTTTTACCTATTTTTATACTATCTTTATATTTCCGGAACTGGATACAAAGCAAAGCAGATGTCAACTATCATTTCTTGAATAAAAGTCTTAGCTAGCCAACATACAGAAAATCTATATAGGACTTGTCCAGTAATCTAACAACCTTTCTTACTGTAAGTATCACACTCTAATTACTCAATTTCAAAAAGTAACTACAATCAGAAAATCCTTCCTTAAAAACTCCAAGTTAAACAAAATTTCAAAGCATACAATTTTTTGCACAGCCAAACATCTTTTATTTTTCACAATCTGAATACTAAAGACACAACCAAACCAATTCCAGAGCATCTCCAGACTTATTAACCAAAATAAACAAAAATTTTTAAAAATAACATCTGTAACAACAACAGAACACTACTTTATCAGTCAAAGTTGGCTTCACCATTTCTTGTCTTTTCCTCATATTTATCCAAGTTCTCCAACTTTAATTCTTCTTTCTCTCTATATTGGGTATATTCAATATCTTTTTCCGGGTTTGGAATTGATTTTCCCTTTGGTATCAAGAAACATTCAGCATTCAAAACTTGCTCAGCTGTCATTGAACTTCTAGAATATATCAAGCTACAGAGCAGGGATTTGACATTATCATCCTGCAAGGAAAAATAGATGTTATAAAACAAAAACAAAATCCAAACGAATGAACAGAAGGACAAACCTATAATGAAAAAGAAAGATTCAATTCAAAAACACTTTTGGTCAATGAGAGAGAGCTAAATCAAGTTTACTATTTAGATTTTTTTCTTTTTGAGACAGGGTCTCACTCTGTTGCCCAGACTAGAGTGCAGTGGTGTCATCATAGCTCACTGCAATCTCAAACTCCTGCACTTGAGCAATTCTCCTGCCTCAACCTCCCAAATTAACTGGGACTACAGGTGTGTGCCACCATGCCCAGCTAATTTTTTTATTTTTTGTAGAGACGGGATCTTGCCAAGGCTGGTCTCAGATTCCTGGTCTAAAGTTATCCTCCTTCCTCCGTCTTGAACAGCATGGGTTTGAACTGAATAGGTCCACTAACGTGGATTTTTTTTCAATAAATAAAGTTGGGAGGGACTTCAACATGGCTGACCAGAGGCATCTGATACTTGCCTCCTCCACAAAGAAGAATGAAAATAATGAGTAGATAATCACCCTTTAATAGATCATCTAAGATGGGAGCACTGAAATTCAACAAAGAAGTTACAGGAAACATCTAAGACTATGATCCCCAACCCCTTGAGTGTAGAGCTCCTCTGCTGCTGCCCCCACCCACCCCCACAGAAAAACTGTCTTCTATGAAACTGGTCCCTGATGCCAGAAAGGTTGGGGACCGCTGATCTAAGAGGTAAGCAAGGCAGCCTGCTCAGCCAGCACTGGCTGGGAACCTACAGAGGCTCCTCAATTCAGGGAATAGTTAAGTGTGAGATTCCCATAGGTCCACATTCTCACCATGGACCTCTGCAATCCTAGCCAAGGCAAAGCCCCTTAATTTTCAAGGACCCTAAGACTAGCTTAGAGAGCTCCCTGGAGACCACACAATAAAATTGCTCCAGAGAGGGAGCTCACGCTGGGTCCCATACACCCTTCAAGTCCTAAGCAGCTACAACAGCAAAGTGCCATTTTGAGATCTCAGCCACCACCTGACTGCATCCTGCCCTGGGGCCCAACAGCCCCTGTGTCTCCACATCCCTGAAATCTTATTGACAGCCTTCACCCACAATTACTGATGCTGCTGGCTGCTGCTGCCAGGGCTGAAGTGTGAGCCATTGGCAGCAACTCCACCACCTCCAAAGCACAGCCACTGTGCATATAAAAGTGCCCTAAAGACAACCACGACCTGGGGCTCCCCAGCTGCCTACTTACAGCCACTGAAAGCAACCTTGCCCACCTCAGCAGCAAAGCTGTAATGCACCTGCTCCTGCCCCCACCCATGCATTCCACCGGGAGCCTTGGAATCACCTTACCCATTTACCAGAGCCAGTGCCTGCAGGTACCACCAGGGAATCTGAAAACAGGCCTCCCTGGCCCAGCTTCACCCCACTCCAGTGCCCAAGAATGCCATCTCGGGATCTGGGAATTATCTTGTCCCATGCACTATCACTGGCACCTGAGCACTCCACCCAGAGGACTGAGGACAGGCCCACACAACCTGCCACTACCACCACAGCTAACACCAAACTGCACATGCCATCTGCAGGCATGGGGACTGGCCTGCCCAGCCCATTGAGACCACCACCACCATCAGTGAAAACTTCTTGGGAGCCACAGGGTTATCCAGTCATGGTTACTGCCATCAACCACATCAATCCCACTACCCAAAGACGCAAGAACCCACCCATAATCCTGGCCTACTACTGGCACTAACAGCACCCAAGAAAGAATCCTGGAGACCAAAGAAATGGCCCACTTGGACCCGCTAACAGCAGTGTCAGTGTATGCCATCCTGGGATCCAAGAACAGGCACACTTGGCCAAAGATGTCACCAATAGGACCCATGGTCTGGCCTACCTGGTGTCCCTGTCTTTGGCAAAACTTCCCCATAGCCTTCACTAACAACTGCACCCTAAGCCATTGAAAAAATCACAGATACCACTGAAACTATTTACAGCCAAAGAAATCTTGTGGATACTACACTACTCCATTTACCGAGAATCAAAACCAAAGTGCCCTACACAACCAACACCATAGATACATGTACAGGAAAAAGTCCTCCGCTGTGAAAGCAAATCCAAAAACTGGAAGCAGCAACTGTTATGTCAGATGTACTGGTAGTAACATAAGGATATAAGGAACATAAAAAAGCAAGAAAATATGACACCTTCAAAGAAACACAATAATTATTTCCATAAACAGATTCTAATCAAAACGAAATTTATTAAATCCCAGAAAAAAGAACTCAAAATATTGATATAAAAGAAGTTCAGTGAGATATAAGAGAAGATAAATAATAAAAGGAAATCAGAAATTAAAATGAATATAGGAATGAGAAATTTACTAAAGACACAGATGTCATTTTAAAATAGAAAAGCAAACAAAATTCCTGGAACTGAAGAATTCATTGACTTAAATTTTAAAAAATACACTCTAAAGCTTAAAATTAACTAGATCAAGTAGAAGAAATAATTTCAAAACTTGAAGACAGGTCTTTTGAAATAAACCAGTCAAGAAAAAAATAAAGAAAAATTTTAAAAACTGAATGAACAAACTCTACGTGACATATGGGGCCTCGCAAAGCAAACAAATGTTCCAATTTTATGTGTCACAGAATGCAAAGAAAAAAAAACCAAAAGAGAAATAAAATTTATTTAAAAAAATAATTGCTGAAAATTTCCCATGTCTAGCAAGAGATGTACACATCCAGATACAGAAGCTCAGAGATCCACAAACAGATATAATTCAAAAAGGTCATCTACATGGTCCACTATAGTCAAACTGTAAAAAGTCAACCACAAGAGAATTCTTAAAACAGTGTAAGTTTCCAGTCACTTATAAGGGAAGTCCCCTCACACTAACAGCAGAAACTTTACAGAACAAAAGAAAATGAAATGATATAACCAAAGTGCTGAAAGAAAAAAAAAATGCCAGCCAAGGATAGTATCAATACCCAGCAAAGTTATCCTTCATAAATGAAGGAGAAATTAACTCTTTCCCAGACAAGCCAAAGCTGAGGGAATTCATTACCAGGAAAACAGCCCTACGATAAATGCTCAAGGGAGTCCTATATCTGGAAGTGAAAGGCATGAAAACACACAAAAGTATAAACACACTGGTAGAATAAACACGTAAAGGAGGAAGAGAAAGGACTCAAATGTCACCACTACAGAAAAACCACCAAACCAGAATGATAAATAATAAGAGTGAAAGGAACAAAAGATACACAAAACAACCAGAAATCAATTAATATAATGACAAGAATTAAGTCCTGACATATCAATAATAACCATGAATGTAAATGGATTCAACTTTTCACTTAAAAAGATATAGATTGGCTAAACAGATTAAAAAACATGACTCAACTATACACTGCATATAAGAAACTTATCTCACTTGTAAAGACACCTACAGACTAAAAGTGAAGAGACAGAAAAAGATATTCCATGCAAATAGAAATGAAAAGCAAGCATGAGTAGCTTTACTAATATCAGATAAAACTGACTGTAAGTCAAAAAGAGAAAAACCACAAAACTCCAGTGAGAATGACTTTTATCAAGAAGTCCCAGGCTGGGCACGCTGGCTCACACCTGTAATCCTAGAATTCTGGGAGGCCAAGGCAGGAGGATCGCTGGAGGTCAGGAGTTTGAGACCAGCCTGGGCAAGAGCAAGTTCTACTAAAAATAGAAAGAAATTAGCCAGACAACTAAAAAATATACAGAAAAAATTAGCCGGGCATGGTGGCACATGCCTGTAGTCCCAGCTACTTGGGAGGCTAAGGCAGAAGGATCTCTTGAGCCCAGGGGTTTGAGGTTGCTGTACACTAGGCTAACACCATGGCACTCTAGCCTGGGCGACAGAGTCTTAAAAAAACAAAAAAAAAAAGTCCCAAACAACAAATGCTGGCATGGATAGAGAGAGATAGGAACACTCATACACTGTTGGTGGGACTGCAAACTAGTAAAACCTCTGTGGAAAGTAATTTGGAGTTACCTCAAAGAACTAAAAGTAGACCTACCATTTGATCCCACTACTGGGTATTTACCCAAAGGAAAAAAGGACATTTTATTAAAAAGACACCTGCACCCAAATGTTTATAGAAACACAATTCACAACTGCAAAGATGTGGAAACAACCCAAGTGCCCATCAATACATGAGTGGATTAATAAAATACGGTATAAGTATACCATGGAGTACTACCCAGCCATTAAAAAAAATGGTGAACTACTATCTCTTGTATTAACCTGGATGGAACTGCAGACCATTCTTAGTGAAATATCACAAGAATGGAAAAACAAACACCACATGTACTCATCATTAAATTGGAATTAATCTAACAACACTTACGTGCACATATGGAAACAAAACTCATCAGAAATCAAGCAGGTTGGGGGGAGGGGGAGATGATTAAATTCACACCTAACAGGTACAATGCACACTATCTGGATGATGGGCACACTTATAACTTTGACTCAAAGTGTACAAAAGCAATTTATGTAATCAAAACATTTGTACTCCTGTAATACTCTGAAATTAAAAAAATAGCAAGAAATAAAAAAGAAGGTCATTATATAATGATAAAGGGATTAATTTAGCAAGAGAATACAACAAATTCTAAAAATATATGTACCCAACACTGGAACACCCAGATATATGTAGCAAATATTATTAGATCGAAAGGGAGAGATAGACTCCAATACAGTAATAGCTGGGTACTTAAACATCCTACTCTCTGCATTATATCATCTAGACAGAAAATTAACAAAGAAACATTAGATTTAAACTGCAACTGAAACCAAATGGATCTAACAGAAATTTACAGAATATTTCATCCAACAGCTATAGAGTACACATTCTTCTCATCAGCACATGGAACATTCTCCAGCATAGACCATATGTCAGGATACAAAACAAGTCTCAACAAATTTTTAAAAATAAAAACCATATCTCCAGTCTCTTTTC